AGTGAGTACGGGGGCCGGCCGTGGGGACCCGCCGGCCCGGGAGAGCGACTCGCCGGGAGGGCTGAGGCGCGGGGAGCAGGGTGTCGGGGTTTCGCGGCTGCGGCGCGAGGTGGCCCCAAGCTGTGCGAGGTCGGGGCGCCCTCCCCGGGACGGGCACCCCGCGGCTTTGGTTCAGGTCTAATCCCAGCCGCTCCAGTTCACGGAGAAGTTCTTCCAAAGTTTTTAATTTTAATCATCGCAATTTATTTGTAAATATCGAATACTTAAAAGGCCACGGATTGGTGTCTTTTTCGTTCCGGTTTGTTTGACTAGGTGATAATCCAGAGCTTTGCGGGTGGTCGGGATTTGGGGTGTGCCCGAGCCCTGGGAGCAGGAGGCGTAAAGATGGAGGGACGGGCTTGGGGGTCCCCCGGCCCCCGCCATCGGCGGACAGTGGGAGGGCCGGCGCGGGGGAGCGGGCCGGGCGGGCGTGTCCGCCTGTCAGGAACCGCGGCGACTCGCGCGTGACGTGCGGAAACGGACCGGCCTGCGGGGTGGGAACGTGCCGTTTCCCCCGCGTCAGCCCGTGTCTGGGTCGCCGCCGCCGCTGAGGCCGGGACCCCGCTCGCGGGCCCGTGTCCTCACGGGTGTGTTGGGTGCCAGGCCTCGGGAGGACGCAGGTGCCCCGCGCCCCGGCCGCTCCAGGAACACCTGCGGCGGCGGGCAGGGGCTGCAGGCGACCGGGCTGGAGGCGACAGCGACCAGACAGGTTATGGCCCCGCCCTGCTTGTCCTGTTTCAGGAGAATCGGTTGTTCGGTTTACTAATGTTCTATTCAAACAAAATTTCTGTGAAATGTGTCGATACTACCACACATCTTTTGTAAGATTGAAAAAGTAATTGGAAAGAAATCCTTGTTTATCAAGAGTGACTTGACGCTTTTATCCCACTTGGGAAACCTTTGTTCCGAGGAGATTGCTCACTGTCTAGAATCTCAGGCGTGCTGTTTCCAAAGGAAAGAAAGCTCCGCAGGTCGGAGGGGAAGAGTGCGCCGGCTGGGCGGTCACAGAGCCCTCCCGCGGTTTGCAAACCTGATGGACATAATCCTGTGCAAGTTAAGTCTTAAGCACACTGAAGTTTCGTTTTCTTTGGGAGGAGGCCACTTTTTACACCAAATGACCTGACCAGAGTTGACCGAGTGTCCAGCTCCAAGCCAGGACCGTGTGGGCTTCAGCTTGGGAAGGGTAAAGGCGTCCTTAGGCTGGAAGTCACGTTTCTCATCGCTCCTGACTCTGTCCCCCATCTGCACCTGGGATCAGGGGAACCCGAAACGCAGCCCCGGCCACACGAATGTTTAGATTCAAATGGTTAGTTTTGTCCAAAGTTTGGATTAGGAATTTGGATTAGGAAGCTTAATGATCTGACCAGAGAGACTAGTTTTGATTTCTAGAACTGACAACTTCGTCTCCTTAAGTCAAAGGAAGTAGTTAAACCAAGGCCAAGGAAATATAGGAATTGGTGTCAGAAACATTGGCCATGGTTACCAGGCAGTGGTGGTCCTGGATGATGTTCTAGTAGAGGTTCCGGGCTAAAGACAACTTTCAAAAGGTTACATAGAGAGGTGAAGTTTCTTTTATTTTGGCTAAGATTTAATCAATTAATTCTTAGTATTTTTTAGCACCATTCTAGTTCCTTTGATTTTGGTTGTGGTTTTATCAATTTAGTGAGTTAACCTCTATTTCATATAAATTATAAGGCTTAATAATTTGATTAATATTAATTAACAAAAATTCGGAAAACCATTTCTAAACTTCCAAACTTTTCCTAGAGGTACCCTTCCCATATCTGAATCCATTGAGGACAATAATGATGCTTGTTGATGGAAGAAATGTTTGGGAAACCCTGAACTTCCTTGCTTTCATTCCAGACCCTTGGTGGAAGGTAGATTGGAAACCAGTCTATTTTCTCACTCCCATGGCATTTTACTTCAAGTAGGATCCCACTGTCCCTGTTGGCCCCGAGAGCCCCAGCCTGAGCTTGTTGCCTGTGGTCGTATGTGAATCATTTGTACAACCTAAGCTCATTGCAACCTCATTTTGAGGTTTCCAAAGTAAAAGTTTTCTCTCCAGTATTTTATAAACTCTTCTTAATTAAAACAATATCTCAGTATGAATAATTTAAATATTTTAATCACCTTTTAAAGAAGACTTTACATCTAAGTTTCTTGGCTTGAGGTTTGGCAGCCGTCCTCCTGTTAGGAGGAAACTCAAATGTTTATGGAGAATTTGCTTTGCCTTGGAATTAAGGAGACTTAAGACTTTTATGATTCAGACGCCGACCATGATTTAATATGTAAGGGGCTTCTTTAGCAATGACCTCCGTCTTCATAACTTTAGCAACATCCCAATCAGATCATGCTTTCCACACTTATGAGCAGTAGAGTGGCCATGGGTGAGCCCTGGTTTGATGCTGAGAACAGGAATTGTGGCTGGTAGTTGTTATTTGTTGGCTCTGACAGAAAGTCACTATAAACTATGACCAGGCAGTATGATTTTATCAGAAATTTAATAGAACCTGTATTATTAAAACAAATCAGCCAGGCTCTTCCGTAGTTCATCTGAACCCAACGGTATCCTCACTGTAACCAGCCTTGTAAACACCCAGTTTGCAGTGACAGGGTTGGTGATCCAAGAGGTGATATGAGCAAGCTGAGCGCTGTGGTCTGCAGGCCTCCCAGGCTGCATCTGAATCCCCTGTGTTTACAGAAGAGGCGTGACCTCCAGCAGGATGTTTGCATGCAACAGCAACTCTCAGCTGTGGAATTTGCCTATTTGATGGTTTGATTAGCTTGGGTGTGGAGATGAAAGTAGAAAGTCTTGGGGGGTGACGGAGAGGTAAGATTTATATATTATTTACTGTGCTTTAGTTGCGCATGTCAGAAACTCTGTGCCAGCAGAGCCCAGGTCTTCTCCCTGCAACTCCTGTCCAAAGCTCCTCTATGTGGCTTTGTCCTCAGGCTCACCCATGGGGTGACAAAATCTTGCAGCAAGTGCTTGGAAAAGGGTCATCCTGGTAGCGCCCACACTAGCCCTGGGCCAGGTGCTTGCTGATTGTGGACCAGCTCCGGTTAAGAAGTTGAGGTGCTCCAGGAGGGATGTTGGGATCAACATCGAGGTGCTTCCATCGAGGTGCGACATCAGTGGAGAGAAACAGGTGCTGATTCCAAAATGAAAGATGCAGATTTCAGCAGAAGGGACAAATCTCTCTAGTGACTCAGTGCAGTAGGACATATTGAGCATGTAGATATGTGGACAGGCACTGTGGGGGCACAAAGATTAGTAAATCCTTCCTGCCAGTTGAGATTGTAGTTTAGGGGTGAAAAGGGGGATAGTACAAAGGAAGTAGGAAGAAAAACATGTGCAGGTAAGAGTCTCACATCACAAACTTGGTGCCAGAAATACAAAGATTTTATTATGAGCCCCCATCTTCAGTCACATTTGGGTCTTGCTTTCTCCCTGGAGGCAGTCATGTTTCAGGTGGGGGCTGAGGAGATTCCAGGCTGCTCTCTGTCCACTCAGGTACCATTAATCCTGAGGATGCTGCTCCTCATTGCAGTCACAGGTCTGACCATCCAGCTCTGAGGCAGCAACAGCAGTTTCCTGCAAGCACAGCTGAGACGTCCTGTGCCTTCCTGGCTGGAGGGACTTCGGGTGAGCCACACTCATATCAGCCACTGGGGTGCATGAGGCTTCTTGGAGCTCTGCTTGCTGGTCTCGCCACTCAGGTCTCTGTTGTTTATTCGTTCGTTTGCCCTCCGTCTCCTGTGAGGACCTGGAAGGGACTCTTTTAAGGCAGAACACTATCAAGTTGTATTTTGTTAGTACGACAAAATGGTCAATGTGTTCATCCCCATGGCAGTTACATTCCAGTGAAGGATGAGTACAAGAAAGGCCAGATAGACAGATAGGAGCTCTAGGTAGACAGACAGACAGACAGATAGGGTAGCCAGACAGATATGATAGGTAGATACATAGATAGATAATAGATAGACATATTAGCCATGGCACAGACTAAATATGATGAGAAAACTTCGAGGGATGTAAGGAGTAATATAGAGTGTTCCCAAATGTATACATACTCATTTCTGTAGATTCTTTTAAATTTTGAAAATAAACTATGTTAATAAACAGACTTCATAATCTCAAAGTATGTATATATTTTGGGGGGAACACCCTGTATTATTTTAGATATTACTTAGATGGAGCACTTCTTTGGAGAAACGATAATGGACTCAAGATGGGACAGAGAAACCAGTAAGGAGGCTGTTGGAGGGACACCATAAGAACTGATGTTCTTTGGGCCAGGCTGGTGCCCGGGGAGTAGGTGATGTTGTCAGATTCTGAGTGTACGCTGAAAGTTCATATTCTGAGAGGTGGATATGTTGGTGGATTGGCGCAGGGCATGAGAAACAGGCGTCACACCTGGCCCAGGTGTAGAGTGTCAGCCCTACCTGAAGAGGAAGCTGGGGAAACAGGTTGGGGAGGAGGCAGGACATCACAAGTTATGTTTGAATGTGTTTGATTTGAGATGCTTACCTGATACTTGGGTGGAGCAGGTAATTGATATTGTGAGTCTGGAATTTAGGGCAAGGTTAAAGAATAGATGAAACTTGGAGAATTATCAGACATAAATGGTGCTTGAAGTTGCAGGACCCGAGGTTTGGGTGTAGAGAAGGAAGAGCCGTGGGGAAGACAAGAGGACCTGAAAGGAGGCAGAGAAGGAAGGCTCGCTGCTGCCTCTTCGCTCTCCCTGGAGGCAGTTCAAGTCCAGTTAGCAACCTTGGCCGTATCTTCAAAAAAATGTGGCTGCTGTGTCCTCCTCGCCACTCAAACCGGACATGGGGCAGGTTTGTCCCTGCACCTCAGGTCACTGATTGTTTTGTGTGGGCAAATTGTAGGAGCTCTGCCCAGCTGCCCAGGAAGGGGTGGCCTTGAGCCAGCAGGAGGTGGGGCCATCGTTAAGGACCCTGTGGTCCCACGCAGGTGCCCAGCAGTGGAGGTTGGCCCTGCTAAGATCTCAGTTGTGTGAGGGTCTATACTGAATGGTGTCACGTAGAAGCAGCATTTAAAATGGGTCTTGAAGAATATTTCGAGAGGTCAGAGGCTGGCAGCTTTTTTCCTTAAAGGGCTGGATAGGACATGTATGAGGCTTTGTGGACCAAAAGGCAAAACTGAGGCTCTATATAGACACTTGTACAACCAGAAGGAACACCAACTCCCACGTATTTCATATTCATGAGAACGGTCAGGCCATATTGAGAACTTTGTTTTGTAACACAGGTGTAGTGACGAGAGAATGTGATTCTCTTCATGGGGAACATTTGTTGCTCGAGGTTCAGAGTGTTCCCTGTCATCAAACAGGTTGTTGCTGATCTAGGATGTGATTTGACCTATTTCATCTTTGAAAAATGTGATTTCACACAAAATATTATTCTTTTGATTTGATCTTTTCAATCATTAAACATGTAAAAATGGTTCTTGCCTCCCAAGCCCTGGAACAGGTAGTGTCTGGACTTAGCTGCAGGTTGCCAACCCGCCTCTCAGCTCCCAAGGCACCTCTAACATGAGCCCTGGGATAAACAACAGAGTTCCTCAGTGTTATCCTTTAAAGCAGGCCATGCTGCCGGGACCTGGTGGGAAGGACAGGCATCTGTGTATGTTTTGTCATAGATCTTTTAACATACAAGGGCAGGCAAGTCTGGATTTACAGTTGTTCGTATGGACAGTATAATAAAAGTAATACAAGAATGAACTCTATTGCGCATACTCACAACTGTAAACCTACTTTTGCCCACCCCAGGTATGTGTTTATGAATATTATTTTGTTATTTTTGTCATGAAGGTGGTGTTTTTTAATTAAATGCTGTGGATTATTCAATCAGTTGTGTTGTGTATTTAAAAAGTATTAGGGGTCTTCATATCCTAGACCAATATAAGTTTGAGGTGGGTCAAACATTTCATGTATAATAAAAGCTCTGGAAGAAAATGTAGAATAATAGCTGTATAATTTTTTAATTAAGGCCTTTATTCACAATAATAGATAGAAAGATGGTAAGGATAGAAAGCTGAGAGAGAGATGCTGCCAAATTATAATGATATAATTGCAATTATACACAAAAGGGGTATGACACCAGAAAAATGGGCAGAGGACATGAAGAGGAAATATGCAAAAAAGGAAAAGTAAACAAACAAAAGAAAAATTCACTTGTGTTCAGATAAATTCAAATAGAGATCTGTCACCCTGTCTTTCTGGTGGACACACAGTGTCTGTACCAACCTCCCAGTAACGGTGGAGAATTTTCCGGTTATACCCAGTGATTCTAAACTTTTACAGGCTATTTAGTAATGTAACAAAATCCTAAAAACTTTGATTTTAAAAAATTCATTAAATCCAACACTTAAGATTCTACCTCGAGATAATTACTATCCACAGTGGAATCTATAAAAGCTCAAAAAGGGAAGCAGTCCACTATTTAGCACAGGAATCCATTGAAACCATTAATGTGCAGACAGCAGAATTGGTGGCTATTTATAATAGGGATTTTTTTTCCCTTCAATAATTGTCAATTTATACTTTCTCCTTTATTTTTACAGTGTGCTTATGCTGTAATTTCTGATCACTTAAAAATATAGAAACATTTTTTTCATACTTGGGCCTTTCGCACTATGAATTTGACAGGTAATTCTCCAATAATTTCTGGTTCTTTTATGGTTTGATTTTTGGCATTTTAAATCATGGATGAATTTGGAGTTTATCCTTGTGTAACATGAAGCTGTGAATGCATGTTTATTCCTCCTCGCAAAAGACCCCTATTGATTGTGTAATAGAGCTTTCTGACATTGACTTGAGGTGCTATCTTTATCATTATTAAATGATTTTATACAGTATATTTAAAACTTCTGAATTTTCTACTTTGTAAAGCTGCCTCTTCTGTTTGTATCTGCACCTACAGTTGGGGCTTCCTGACATGTCGGGTCCCTGCAGAGTGTGGCCCCTCGTGCTGCTTCTTTTACATGTTTTTTCTTAGCTTTTCTTCTTTATTTTTCCATATGAACTTGAGAATTACTTTGTTTAGTTAAAACTCTTGTAAGACTTAAAAGAGAAGATGCATTTTATTTATGACAAAAAGTAGAAAGACCATCGTAAGAAAATTCAAAAGACAAATGGCAAACAGAAAATGACTATTTGTAACTCATGTTGTAAAAAAAGGTTAATTGCTTTAATATATAAATGGAAAAGAAACAGAAATGCCCCCATAAATGGACAAGAAATATGAAAAAGATGTGACAGAATTGTAAAGATATTCAACGTAAGCGTAAAAGAACAGACTAAAAGTACACTGAGAATTTCACAAGGAAAAGGTACTGGAATTGAGATTTGCTGTGAACAATGAGAAACTGGGCAGATACAAGGAGTGTCTGTTTTCACATGTTGGACAACAGGCAAATGGGTCCCAGAGAGGAGGGAGGCCCAGAGCACGTGTTCTTGCTGGATGAAGAGACAGTGAGTGTGGAGAGGCTCAGGCACATGGTGTTTGCAGAGCAGATGGGAGAATAGAGGGAGTTAGAGAGAAAGAGCTCAGGAAATCTGCAGAGGGACCCTTTGAGTCCTTGGCTGAGTAGTAAGCATTACTGGGGGGGAGAGGGGACTTTGAAGACTAGGCAAGATAACTGCCAGGAAGCTGTGAGGGGAAAAGCTCTGGGCCAACACAGGGTTGAGAATAGCAGTTCCTACCAGCCAAGATGGGAAGAGCTCATTAAACCCTGAGGACATACAGGAGAGAGTCACACCCTAAAAGACCATGTACACACCTGAGCCACACATCAAAGTGTTATCGTAGGCAGCTAGTTAGTTGTTGACAAAGAAAGGCAGCAAATGGGGGCCCTGGAGGGGCAGCTCAGTTGGTTAGAGCATCGTCTTGATGCACCAAGGTTGTGGGTTTGATCCCTGGTCAGGGCACGTACAAGAATCAACCAACGAATCCACAAATGAGTGAAACAAGAAAATTCATGTTTCTTTCTCTCTCTCTCTCAAATCAATAAATAAAAATAAGAAAGGGAACAAATGGAGCCAGACATCAAATTAAGCCAGATTAACTAGGAAGCTAGACCCTCCAGATGTCCCAGGGGAGAGCCCATCCTCTGCCAAACAGATGCTAATCCCCAGTAGGGAGGAAGGACTGGCTTTCCAGTCTCCTCAGGGGACAACCAGCTATACCCCTAGATGTCAGGTGGGGGGAGAACCGGTGAAAGAGGAATTCCTCTGCTGAGTCATGTGCAGTGGGAGCCTAGAAGGCGAACATAAACTTGGGAAAAGGAAGGGATTGGATGGGGGCTGGCCCAGCACAGCTGCAGAGATTCCTGCGCTCCCTCCTTTGTTCCTGTATGCCCTCTCTGTAGCAGCAGTGCAGGCCCAAGTGCAGCCCTGGAGGCAGATGTGCAGATGGGGAAATGAGAAACGGAGAAGTTCTGCATCTCTGGGTCCTGGCTCTCCTGGGCCTGATAGATGTGGGTGTGGACTTGTGGCCTCAGAGGCAGGACTTCTTCCAAAAGGTGGAGCTGAGCCACCTGGTTGTGGATGAGATACTAGGCACTTGGGGACAATCCTTTGTTTTCACTCCAGTAAATCTTGCCACTGTGCCTCAAGTCCTCCTATTCATGGGTCCCTGAAATACTCTTCTTGCGACTCCGTGGAAGCATCCTCTTTCCACTGGTAACAAAAGAAACCCTTCACTCACTGCCTGCTCACACATGCCATGTCTACAACTTCTAGCAACCACCACTTTTACTAGAAATGGGTAGAAACGGAAATGTAAACCACAGCTAGGAGAAAAATCCATCAGAAGCAGACCCAGGAAGAGCAGAGGTGACACAATTACCAGACAAGGACATAAAGGCACCTTTTACAATATGCTTGAGGATTTAAACAACAACATGAACACAACAAGCACAAAAATGGGAGGAACGAAAAACAACCAATGGAGCTTTCAGAGCCAGAAACACAGTCCTTAAAATGAAACATGGATCTGATGGTCTGAACGGCCGATTTTACATTAAACATCTTGATTTCTTTGGCTCTTCTGGTTGCCTGTCTGGTGATAGGGAAGGACCTTTGTCCAAAAATGTCCTATATACCCAATGTTGTCTCACTGTCTTTGGAATTTTTGTGCCTGTGTGAATTCTCCATGTGCATGTATTAAACTTTTATTTTCTCCTGTTAGCCTGTCTCCATATATTTGGTTATTAGCCCAGCTAGGAGAACTTAGAAGGTGGGAGGAAAAGTATTGATATTGTTTAGCCCCTACACAAATAATACTGGAATGCAAAGTATTGTACAAGTGCTAGCCTTTGTTACCTGAAGTAATCACTCAATTCCTGAGTCTCCTAGAATTTTGCTAATAAGGAAAATCTATACAGACAGTTCAAACATTTTTGACAAAAATAGCCAACTATATTAAATTTTATATTATCTATTATCGACAGTTATAAAGTACATCTTTTAAAAATTTTTAATATTTTAATGTTTTTATTAGTATTGAGGTGAGTTAAAAATTACAGGGAGAAAATACATAATGGGGAGATTGAACTAGATTTTGTTTAAGATCCTTTAGAATCCCATGATTTTATACTTTCTGAGGTGTTTAGGGTTTCCCAGTCTCTGAGGGAGTTTAATTTACTAGGAAAACAGATGAAATAATATTTGAGGATTTCCAGTTCATTTGTCTGGTGGGGTAGGATTTTTTAACGCTTATTGTGTATGAGACAAAATGAAATTACAATAAATTTCTAACTTCTATTTAGTAGATTTTTATATTAAAATCTTTTTTTAATGTTTTAGTGAATAACCCCATACCTTCCAATTTGAAATCGGAAGCAAAAAAGGCTGCTAAAATTCTAAGAGAATTCACAGAAATAACTTCCAGAAATGGACCTGATAAAATCATTCCTGGTAGGTAAATAAGCTACGTGCTGTTAATTTTGAAATTGGTTTTGTTTTCTGATTTATGTTTTACATTCCTTGAGTTTAGGCTGTCAGCCCCCGAGAGCTGCAAGTCCTCAGAGCACCGTTTTCTCTTAGCTGATCTTCCCAGCTGGTGTCTGGGCAATCTCCTGGCCAAGGCTTCCTCCCCTGCCTCCCTTTCCAGGTGCCCACATGCTAAGCACCCTGCCTCCTGCTCTGCTTTCCTCAGGCTCACCTGTCCTTTTCCTCAATTTCTGGGGACTTTGCAAGCTCATTTTCCAAACTCACTAGCTAATCTCAGAAGTAAATTTTAATTTTTGTGTTTTCTCTGTCTAGCTATTTAAGGATGTTCTGCATAGTAGGTTCTTCATGCTCTCGGATGAGTTATTTCTGAGAATGTGTATTAACTTGTGGAGTGATGTGCATAACTATATTAGAAATTTAGTGTTTTTCTAGGGATTCATACAAAACCTTTTTTGTGTATTTGGGTTCAGTAACTGGTTTGACTTCCTTGACAGAATATTTAACTTATGTGATGACAAATTAAACTACATTGAAAATAAAATCATCATCCAAAAATGATTTCCAATGTTTATATATTCATTGTTATATGAAAGATATAGTGTTGTGTAAATAAATCCACAGGCTAGCAAGGTGCTGTGTTTAAGGGGTGTATCTATTAATAACTCTCATTTTATATAATGAACTTCCTTGACATGTGAATAAACCAATATTTGTAAATTGAGATATAGTTCCAGTGTACCCGTAGCAACACTACCTGACTACTGTAACAGATCATTTTATAAACTTAGAAAGGTTTGAAAGTGGCAGAATCACTCTATTTTCTGTTTTGAGTCCAGATTTTCATATCAATGAAAGCTGAACCCCATGGCTTTCAGATCAAAATTGTGCCCCATGCCATGTGTTGGCCATTTTAAAGTTCCTTCTTAACACAAAGAAATCTCAGTTTCCTTGAAAATACTAACTTGTTTTTTAAATTATGAATTATGTTCCAAATTAATTGAATCTCCAAGTTATTTGTCCTGCTACTAGATATCAGTAAAACCTTATCTGGATATACCTCACTTATTTTGGCAGCTGTGGATTTTTGAGCACTTACCATGTTGTGTTTGCAGAAAGAACAGAAAAACTGAGCTGGGAGTAGCGACCTGGCCATCTGTGCTATAACTGAGTTTTATTCGTGGCTCAGATGTGCCATTAGGCTCCTCCTGAGAACCCAGGAATCGACCCAGCACACCTGTGTGCCTGGGATCTGGGGGCACCTACATACCTGTTGTCTCTGACTTTTGCAGCCCATGTGATCGCTAAGGCCAAGGGCCTAGCCGTTCTGTCTGTGATAAAGGCTGGGTTTTTGGTGACGGCTCGAGGAGGCAGTGGGATTGTGCTGGCTCGTCTTCCCGATGGAAGTAAGTGACTTTTCTTCATGTGGGGAGGAGAGAATCCTGAATCTTCCTTGTTCTGTTTCCATTTGAACATATTTCACAGGGAGAGTGACAGACTTCCCATGTCCCAAAACTGTCATCCTCGGGGTTCCCTTGGGTGCGTCCTGGGTGTCAGACAACTGGGCCACGAGCTATCACATTTCTCTCTTCCTAAAACATTAGACAAGACCCAGGTAGATGTGGCTCTGTCTTGTATACAATTGCAGCTCTTCATTGAGTGACTATTAAGCATGACAATTTGCTGTGAAATATTAGCTCGTGCTCCTCAACTTCGTGGTGCAACGGTTTTCTCTTGTTTCGTGGGATTTTATAGGAAAATGAGAGCTGTCTGCAGGCTTTCCTACTGCTCCTGTGGGAGTCAGCTTAACAGATGTCCTGGAGCAGAACCCTAAGATCAGCATAATCAGGTTCACTTTCTGCAGTGAGACCCAACCCTTGATTTTTCTCAGCAGTGAGACCCAACCCTTGATTTTTCAGAGATGAGACCAAAGTGCGTTTACGTTAACTCCCAGCAGCCAGCACTCAGATGGTACTGACAGTGTGTGGGTGTCATGATGAGCTAAGGTGCTTTTTATACCCATTTCATGTTGCTGCTCAGTCAGATACGTTTAAATAGTTATCATGTGTGATTGTGTTATTTAAATAGTTATTTTTCAGTAGATAATTTGTGGGCCATCCACTGACAATAGATGCATCCAGTCGTCTGTGGGGCACACGGCCTTTGAACATTAGTCACTGGACCCACTGCTTCCTGCAAGGTGTCCCCACCGCTTCCTGCGAGGTGTCCCCCCAGTAATGAGAGTCTCGAGTCTCTCCCAAGCTGTGGCTCAGCTCTCAGAGCTCAGTGCTCAGCTGAAAGACAAAAATGACAGAATCCTCTTCATCTCAAGTGTTACCCAATTTTTTATGCGCAGAATTCTCAGTAGCACAACCAAAGTAGGGGTACATCCAGAGGGTGTCCACATTGGTTGAGCCCCAAGTCTGCAAGAAGGCCTTGGTCCTGTAGATCCCCTTGGTCCTTGACAGGGTGACTATATGGACAGGTGGAGGTGCTCTCGGCCTCTGGGGCTTCTCCCAGAGAGCCAGGTGGACCTGTCTACTGGGTTAAACACATTTCTCTTCCATCTTGCACAGTAGCAGCTGCTCAGGGTAATTTAAAAGCTGCACAAATGAGGCACAGAAAATTCCAGGATCCCTGTCAGATGGGGGACAGAGGCAGTTCCTACCTAACATAGGAAATGGAGACTAATTTTGGTTTTATAAGACACTAATTTCTGTAATCAAAACTCCTCTAAGCCAGGACAGATTAGTTCTGGGTATACTCCATAGTTATTATGTGGAATACATGCAGTAAGCAAAGCTCGATTTAGAAACATTTTAAGACATTACTTTATCTGGACAATTCTACCCTCCCCCAACCAAATTAATGTTTTTTTCTAGACTTGTTTAACCTGTTTCTATATCAGAAAAAATAAGCATACAGTATTCCTGAAATGTATGATGATGGCAAATGGAATTACTGTGCTTAGTTTCCACATGTAAGGAAATTCATCTTACTAGAATTTTAATCATCTTGAATTTATAGCCTATTTCTTGGGCTTCTGCCAGGCAGAAAGGGTGTCAAAATAATTTTTCCCCCCAGAGATTTAAAATAGATACCAGGTCGTATAGTGTTACCCTTAGGAGTGATTATAATAAACTCTTTCAGTCCTTTTGCTCTCATTCTATGATAAAATTCTAACTCAAGACTAGAATTACTGCTCAATCATTTTGTAAAACATTATAAAATATTGATCATTGAAGTTATCAAATGCTGTGTATGCTTAGTTGGTGAGAATTCTATAGTTTGTATTAGGCACGTTTATTGAGAGGTTAGACAACATGGACTTGTGAGTCTAAGAGACTTAATGAATAATATTTTTCAAATATTTTTAACTTAAAAATTATATATAAAGAACATTTGAAAACATAGACGAAAATGCCAAATTCTCACTGTTTTAAAAAGAAACCATCTTCCTCCTCATTTTAGCGTTTTCCCTGTGATAATTACCTGACAGGTTTAATGTTGGAGTGATGTGTGTTTGTTTTTATTAGAATGGTCAGCACCCTCAGCCATCGGGATCGCGGGGCTTGGCGGAGGATTTGAAATAGGAATTGAGGTTAGTAGCTGATGTTACGCACACGATCATGAGTTCTCTAAAAGTACCTGAAACCTAACGTGGGAGAAGAGGATTCCTCCCGTTCTTACTTTGCGACCTGTGGAAATGGTTCCCTTTTATCCTGTTGACAAGTCTCTACCTAAAACTATCTAATGTACCATTTTCTTCCTTTTCTCTCACAGTAAAATTTTTCCTTTGTCCCGTTTCCATCTTTAGCGCATCTGTAGAACAGATATGTCTCAAATCTGAGAACTATATTTGGGAATTTATGGCTTATTTAGTGACTCAGGTAGTGAGGGGAGTGTAAGCAGGCTGACAGTGCATTTACAGTTGTGGCAGAATCCAGTTTTGTTATATCTAATACTCAAATTACTTCCAATTCCTTAAGTAAAGACTGACAGCTTTGCTCCTAATAGTTAAGGCTTCCATGAAATGGACTAGAAACCACACCTGGGGGCACTGGCTTTCGGAGCTCTGTGGCACAGGGATCATCTTCGACACGGTATTGAATTTCATCTGCTGCTCCTTGATTGTGAACCAAATCTCCCGACATCTCAATCCATTTTCTTCTTGGATTCCAGTCGCCAGTCGCCTCTCCCTTGGCCTTCTGTTACGAATTCCCCCAGCCTCACTGGGAGGAGGTCTCCCTGACTCATCTCCCCTCTTTATTTCATGTCTTTTCTCGCTGCTGCAGGAATCTGCTGTAAAAAGAGGAGCATATTTCAGTTTTGCTCATGATGACTGCTTTTTTATATATTCAACCAAATTAAAGCCTTCAAAAATGTTACCCTCTGTGGGAAGTATGGGTTCATCACCTCCCGGCCACCTCCTGGCGAAGCAGGTGATGCTTTCAGGTGGCTCCTCATTCTGGGTTACAGCCACGCTTTCCACACCCCTCAAATTCATCATGAAGCTGGGGGCATGCTTTGAGGTCTGTCTCAAATAGCATTTATTTCAAAAATGATGAGAGGCCCTGGCTGGGTAGCTCAGTTGGTTAGAGCGTTGTCCCAGTGTGTCAAGGTTGTGGGTTTGATCCCTGGTCACAGCACATGCAAGAATCAGCCAGTGAGTGCATAGATGAGTGGAACAATAAATCAGTGTTTCTCTCTCTCTCTTTCAAATCAATCAAAACATTTTTTTAAAGGATGAGACACTAAGTAATAACGATGTCAGTAAATTTAATGTAGTAAAGACTAAACAGGAGTGTCTCTGTGATGATGATTTGGAAACTGGATTCCAGGCCATAGTGCACATTAACAGTCTTGAAAAACAAGTACCACACCCAGTAAATGCAATAGAAAGATTTAAAATAAACATTTTACAAAATGATATGCTTGGTCATCTTTCCAAAGCAATTGGGCCCAGTGGTTGAGCTGCAGGAGCAAAGACTGAGTGGCCAGCACGGCCCAGCTCCAGCTGAGTGCCTTCTAGCTATGTGCTCTGGGCCAGCTCATGCCCCTCGCCTCTAACACAGAGGCAACGGCAGCCTTCCCTCGGGCTTACTAATGAATGCATCTGTACACAAAAACGCTTGGAATTCGTGAGCTCCTGAGATGAGACGTTGGGATTGAGATTGATGCCTGTTGCCCAAGGGCCGCCCTGCCTGTCCTGTGATGGGTCCTGACATTTTTAGGTGCTCACCGTGGGCTTCACCACAGCAGCGGGGAGCCTGGGAAACTGCTTTCCCCATGTCCACGTGCCTGGAGTAGTCTCACCCGAGAGAATGAGTCATAGTGGTAGGCACTGGGCAATGGCAACTGTATTTCTTCTTGATGACTTGAGCTTCTGTGACATAAAGCGTCCACTGTGCAGTTTACTGGAAATAGGCACCTGGCTTCCCAGGGGTGTTGGTGTGGATTTGTCACTGGGAACCGGGGCCCCTGGGGCCTTGACCTCAAACCCTGCCCGTTCTGTGCTCTTCGCCTTGGCTTTCCTGAGGGTTTAGTTGCAGGCAGTGCCTGTGTTGCTCTCCTACCCATCTGATCTGTTCTGGTTTTCACTGTGGCAGTTTCCTTAACCTCACGACACCTCTGTCACCACCTACTTTACAAAGCAGTTGAGGAAACTAAAGAAGATGAAGCAGGAAAATCTCACAGAGTGAAAGGAGTTTGCCATTAGTACCTGTGGAAACGTTAGCTGCTCACATCCTCAGCTCCAGATAAAAACATGACTTCTGTATTCTTTCTCTGTCTACACTGAAATGTTTGCTACAGTAGATATAGTATAATTGAGTTTTAATCAGCCTATATTTTAGGTGATATTTAAACGTAATTATTTTTTAAATCATTGAGTTTCTACATTTTAGGTGTCGGATTTGGTTATAATTTTGAATTATGACAGAGCAGTAGAAGCTTTTGCAAAAGGTGGTAACCTAACCCTTGGAGGGAATTTTACTGTGGCAGTCGGGCCCTTGGGAAGGTGAGTTCCGTAAAATATGTTGCAACAGCTATTGAGTAGAAAAGCTGTAAAAACTATATAATGTTTTGCTCAAGAGGAAACGTGACTTCAAATGAAACAAAGTTATGATTCTCTGTCTCACAGAAGGTTTGAGGTTGCTTACAAATAAGAAAATTTCAAAGCACAGCCAGTGTGATAAAATGAGAAAATTGCACAGACAAGAAGAAAGTAAATATTTCTGGAATGCAAGCCATTGTATCTTCTGAACCTGAATATAAAATTTACATTAAGCTTTGAAGGAGCAAGTTAAGCTTAATTAGCTGGTAAAGGGCAGCATTGATCCGGAAAGGGCTTTTTTTCGTACACTAAATTATGAAAAATCAAAATGGGAGTGTTTTACTCTAGTGTTTAAAACACATTTGTCTGTTAATGAAGTACTTGTTTTGTGTTCATTGAGTGATTTTGAAATTTAAACCCAGACTGTTTATAGAAGTTACACAGTAAAATCGTCCAAGAATATCTCTAAGTTCCATGAAAACACTCAGGGTAAAAAGAACCCACAGTTTTTGGGACTCTTGAGATGCATTTCCTTGTTTGGGGAGAGGTAGACGGGTGAAAAATGAAAGCTTCCTGAGCGTCCTCCACACTGCAGGCCCTGGATCATCCCACCCCTTGGGCGATTCCATGGGCTCTGTCCTTCCCCACTCCTGCCCTTCCCTGCACCACCACAAACCCACGCAGGTGAGGCCCACAGGAAATGAAATGTGTAGAGACCTGAAGGAAGTGGGGAACACACCAGTCTTTGGGTCAGAAGTACAGTGCTCTTCAAACACCTGTCTGTGGGTACAATGTCTCCCACAGTCTGAGGCTAACCCTTCTCTTTTGCAGAAATTTGGAAGGAAATGTGGCCCTGCGCAGCTCTGCCGCCGTCTTTACATATTGCAGGTCCAGGGGGCTCTTTGCTGGGATAAGTTTAGAAGGCAGCTGTTTGATTGAAAGGAAAGAAACGAATCGAAAGTAAGTGCAAGATGAGTGATTTCAACTGATGTAAAGAAAGTATTAAGAATGCTTTTGGAGCCAGGCTGGTGTTTCTCAGTGGTTGAGCATCGATCTATGATCCAGGAGATTGAGGTTCGATTCCCGGTCAGGGCACATGCCAGGGTTGTGGGCTCGATCCCCAGCGGGCCCCCGCCTATAGGAAACAGCTGATCAGTGACCCTCCTCATTGATGTTTCTATCTCTCTCTTCCTCTCCCTTCCTCTCTCTGAAATCAATAAAGACATATTAAAAAACTATATACTTTTGGAAACTTCTGACTTTAGGCCTGTGGAAGACTTTCCCACTAAAGTTCACCTAAATTCTGGGTAAACTAAAGCACATACACTTAATCAACTGCAGGGCTTCCAAACATGTAAGGCAAATCTTTATGTAATTTTGAAGCAAATTACAAAGAAATTACAAAGTCATATATGTTAGAATAAAGTCTTACATTAGGGTTATTAAGAAACGTAAAAAATAAAAACCTATAAAAACATATCTGCTTGTAGGTATATTTGCTAAAATGTTGACATGTATATGTATGTATGTACAAGTATATGTACATGTGATGTGCATTTTATATTTTTTGTATATCAGGCTATTTGTGGTGGTGGCCTCTAGAGGTGAGCTTGGGGCATGAATTTCAGGGTTTAACATGGGTTATGGCTTATAGTTAGTTTGAAAAGTAGAATATGAATAAATACACACAGAATTTAGCTCTAGAAAAGATCCATGCCTTTAAAAGAAATGTTCTTAATTTGACATTTCTCTAGATTTTATTGTCAAGATATTCGAGCTTATGAGATTTTATTTGGAGACATACCGCGGCCTGCTCAAGCCGAAGATCTGTATGACATTCTTGATTCCTTCACTGAAAAGTATGAGAATGAAGGACAGCGGATCAACGCAAGGAAAGCCGCCCGGGAGCAGAGGAAGGCTTCGGTGGTGTTGAGTTTATGTGTCTCAGTAGCCACAGGACACTCCTTTATGCAGAATATTCTATCAGCTCCCTAACAACCTACTGAACTTCCCTTGTGATTTCATTTACGCAGTTACTGTGAAAATGCCCTACAACCTTGACATGTCATCTACACAGATGTCAAGGGGAAACATAGTTTGTTTTCCATGGTTGCATTTCTCCAAGGATAGGCCTTTGTAATATCAGTTACTGACATCGATGATAGCTGCTGATACTGAGGCCTGGAAGCACCAGAGTTTTGGGGACCATGGTTACCTAGCACAACATGCTTTCAGTCGCTTAATCCTGTCGTAAAGGGTGAAAACAGACTCACAGAATTTGAATTGTTACTGCCTCTCCGGGCCACCACATTACTGTACCTGCAGAGGTGGTCAGAGGCACCTGGACAGCTTCCTGTTACGGGGAGCATCCTGGTCAACATGCGTATATTGTCATCCAGTTCAACTAAGTGTGAGCGTGAAGGGGATTCTTTCATCAGGGCGTGGGATAAAATCTTTCATCAGTGCGGGATAAAATCTGCCACACACACTCATTAGAAAAAAAAGGCCTTGTATGCTCCTAAGTAAAAACGGGGTTTTAAAATTCTGTGCATTTTTTTTGTTCCTCCCAGGCTAAAGAATTACCTCCAAAACCGTTGTCAAGACCACAGCAACCATCTCCACAAGGCCATCTGAGCTCTGGCTCTCAAAGTAAATATTTTTTGTTCCAATTCAAATACAATTATAATTAAGCAATTATTAAATATTGTTATGAAATGGAACTACATTGTTTAACTTTAGTCAAATAAAAGAACTAGTAGATTTTAAAGAAAGCGAATGCTCAGCCTCTTCTAAATGCATAAGACAAAATCTCATTGCTTTCATTTCTTAGAACTGATTCAAAAGATGTTGATTTAAAACGGGGATGTTTTTCTTATACACTCAGAGGTTTATGTTTCTGAATATTAATCTGATCGTCCACTCTTGGGGTCTCAGGGTTTCATAAGGTGGCTGTAAAATAGACTGAATTTGCACAGCCTTCGCCCCTCTTTCCATCGCTCACTTTTAGGGCAGTCACACTTAGAATTTTGCTTTTCACTTCACAGATAGAGGCTGCCAAGAAATGGCAGCATGTTAAAGTAGGTGATGTTTCATGTCGTTGCTGTTGTTCGGGAGGTGCTGTGTCTCCAGTGCTGTGGCTTTGGGGTCAAAGATGAATCTGACTTACCTCCTATGAGAGCTCTCAGTCCAGGAGGAGAGAGGCCACCTGTGGAAAAGTAATTGAGATCACTGGGGAGAGTCTATGATGTTTGGGAAAGGGTGTCAAAGTGCAAGCTGTTTAAAAATTATTTTAGGGGTGAAACAAGTAAGGATGTTTAAATATCACTGGCTTGGGGGTCACAAGGTTTCTTATTCAGGCATTTTAGGATCAGGTCTGTAGAAACAAGTCTGTGTTCACTGTGGGTATATCGCTGCAGGGCCTGCCTCGTGGTCTGTGTGCTTCTGGCCCTACAGGTGTCAGACATGGGCCATCTGCCTGTATCTACATTTTCTGGATTTATTCAGGCATTCCTTCTTGATTTAAAGTGTGATAAATTAATGATATTTCTATCAGTTGTAGTGATTTAAAATATTTACTTAGCAAGGGCAAGATTTGGCATTCTTGGGTACTTTATAAACTAGTTTTCTAAATCTCCTCCCCTTTTTTTGCAGGTAACAGAAACGAATATAAGCTCTACCCTGAACTTCCCCGCTATCACGAGAGAGTTGGTAAATACAAACATCTATATAACAGTGATTTATATCCATGTTATAGTCACAAGCTCTAATTGCTCTGGCAGGTTGTGAAAACCCTCTGGGAAAGTATCTGGCACCCTGCGTAGCTTTACAGGGATCCATATCATTTTGAGAAGTACTTCATTTTTAAAAATTTTTTTTTTTTTATGCTTTTGTTCTCTAATGGCTTTAATTGGAGGTGATGAGAGTGATGCAGAAGCCAAAACAGACAGCTACCTGCTGAGAAGCACCTGAGCTCAGGGCCAGATGCTGCTGCAGGACTGTGGGAGTCTTAATAAGTAGAAGCTTGTTAATTGTGAATTACAACTTAACCCTTATTGCATTTTCTCTGGGTTTTAGCCCCATGAATAATTATTATATTTAAGAACATTTTTATTTTTTCAAGTTCAAATATTTTACTGTTAAGGGGAAGACCTTCATAAAACTTATTAGGGTTTTTTACAATAAAACAGTCCCTCAGTCTGTCTGTCTTTAATGTCCTTTAGGGAATGTTCTTTCAAGGAGTTTGGCAATTTTTTTAGAAATGGGACTGGGACACAGATTGAGGGCAAAGGTCAAACATTTGTTAAATAGCCTCTTTATTTTTTCATACCATCTGTTGCCATGGAGTCCCAGAGCCATATACTCTGGATTAAACCATTGGAGATTCATGTTTCAGGTAAATAGAACATCAAAGTCACTAGGTGCCCATTTTTATTTTTTTAATTAATAAAATGATTCCAAAATGTCTCCTAAGTACAGCCCCTGAGCAGAGGTGAGCCTCTCCCTGGTAGACTAGGGTACCTGACTCTTCTTGCTCTCAGCCTGGTGCCCACTGTCAGGCACCTGCTTCCTGCCCTTTTTTCCCAGGTGATTCTCCCTGGGGGCCCTGAGGGCCAGGGTAGAGCCCGTGTTGAGGGCTAGTGTGATGTCCTGTGTATGAGGCCTGGGAGGATGTCCTGGCTGACCATCCTCGCAGGCAAAAGTCACAAGACATAGGCCTGGCCCCCACAATGAACGCCCCTTTAAGCAGGACATCCAGTTGGCCCACCGGCCAGCTCCCCAGCTTGTCGCACCCGACAGACAAGCAGCCTAATGATGGTTCCCCAAATCCCACACACTTGGATTTGCAGCCCCCAAGAGCTCTATCAGCACTCGGACCTCTGGGCAGGACCAGCTTTGAGAGTCCCAGCCCAATTTACAGGAATTTTTAGTAACAGAAAGTCTGTGCCCTTCTGTGTCAGGATCCCCCTGCAGTCTGGACACTGTGGATAGCTCTGCTGCGAAGGCTGTTCTGAGCTAGGTGGGTGTCTAGCAGCACCCCTGAGCAAGGCCCATTCAGTTCCTGCAGCACCCTCCTTAGTTTTGGCTACCACATATGTCCTAAACCACTGGGCTGGTAGCCTTGCCTGGTGACACTCACACTCCTACAGAGGACTTGGTCCCCGAAGTTATAGACCCTGTATGTAGCCTGAGGGATGTGTGTGCCAGGATCAGTCACCACCAGACTGTGATCTGTAATTCTGCTGGATCGTCTTGAGGTGGACTTTCTAAAGGCTGAGATTTGCCTGTATCTCCTCTGGGGCGGCTGTGTGGGCTGCACATGGATCACAGTACACAGGCTGCATTGAAAAGGTGGAGGGGATTCGGCCTTGCTAATTAGGAGCCTCAGGACAGCTGCCAATCACTAAAGCTGATTGTAATCTGTTTCCTTTTAAGTGTAGCCCTGATTTGGGAGAGAAAAGTAACCCCTGTTTGAATTAAACTTGAATATTATGATGAAAATGGCCAAAGACCCTGCAGATTTTTTAAAGCAAAGGAATGTTAAACTTGAAGGCCTGTGTTACTCAGAAGGGACAGCTTCTGTGATCACCCACAGCTCGGGATCCAGTGGTTCCCAGCGTGGTCTCCCTCCTGGAAGGACATTACCTGTTGGGCTCACCTTTTTTAAAAAATGAATTATTTTGTGGGCATTAAACTTTTCCTAATGGAAATTTCCCTACTGTTTACAGTAAAAAGGAACTTTAGGTCATTTTGAGCTTATTGAAGAAAAAACTCACAGTAGGCCATGGAGTGGCCTGGGAGCAGCCTCACTCGGGCGTGGCACCCTGTTTCCCAGCACCTGACTGGAGGTTGGGTGGAGTCTGTCAGGCCTGACTTACCAGTCTTCTACTCTGCCAGCGGTGACCCCCCCGTCTGTCTCACCTCTGCTCAGAACTCATGGGAGGGCGGTGCTGGATATCGGCCTCCTCAACCCAGCAGGGCTGCCTTGTTCCCTGCTGCAGCACAAGCCCACCTGCTCTGCATTTACACCATCTCCCATCCCTGCTTCACCCTTGTTTCATTTGGAAACTGCAACTCAGAGGGACGTCGACAAAACCCGACTGGGAAGGCAGGGACCGAGCCAGGGCTGCCATCCTCTCTGCCTTCCTCTCTAGTTCATAGTAACTTTCTCACCATTATTCATCATAGAATATGTTCCTAAGACCGATGGAACTAGTTCAGTTATCAGTGATTACCCAGGATCATCAGTGTCAGATATTCCTGATATTCGTGTCATCACGATAATGCAGTGATGCAGAAAAATATACTAATTCTTGAAAATTTGCCTAACAGAAGTAGAGTGCTCTGGTACATCTGAGTTCAGTGTGTGGAAGACAATTTGATTCTTATGTGGTTGCTGAGGACCTTGGGGTATAGTGTTGATTCAGGTGCCTGGAGACAGTCTCTGGGGGTTCAGATCCCACCACCTCAGATCGCTCAGCTTGTCCAAGCTCTGTCTGTGGCTGCCCCGTTAGGTGAGGATGAGTAGAGTGCGTGTTGTGCCTATTACAGCCCGACTGGGAACAGTGGCTGGTCTTGTCCTCCACACGCTGGTACCTGTTATCTTTGTGCTCCTCTTTCCTATGCACTTTTACTACAGTAGATGTGTGCATGTGTGGCAGCTAGGTGGCCCTGGCCTCCAGAGCAGCCCTGGCATTCTCAGGCACTGTCTTTTCTTGCTCCCTTCTGTTACCCGACGTGTCTTGGATACAGCAGGAGGAGTTATGTGAGGGTTTTCATTGCTGAGGTTGGTTAATTGAGATTGAGTTTTATATATGGAGGTCGTAAATATTACTGACAAGGCAGTTTTTAGAATGATCTTTTTCTTCAATGTTGACTTACATTCTTCTGATCAAATGACAGCCGTGATGTGAGGACTTGCTGTACGCCTGCCTCAGTGCAGTGTCACGGCTACATTAATTAGTGATGACCGTCAGTGCACGTGAGCAGTCATTTAGCTGGTTTCATTGTATCGATTGCCTCAAAATTTTATTCGTTTGTGACATTCTTTGTACCTTATGCCTTCAAGTTGATAGACAAGAGGTAAATACAGTATAAAGTATAAAAATATGCAGAACTTTTTGTGCGATAGTAAAACTATACCAGTAATATCTGTAATAGATTAGTTATGAAGGCTGTTTCTTTAGGAGAACTCAGAGAACAGTGTGGCACGTGCCTCGTAGAGAGAACTGTGGCACTATCTTGTGTGGCTACAAATTCAGGGTTTCAGTCAATGTCGTTTAATTGAGGTGTTGACTATTTTTTCTTCTTTCTGACAGTCCCAGGTCAGTTTATTTTTTATTATAATATAGGACCAAATAAGTAGCTGATTTTAGAATTTACTTATGTTTTCAGTATATCTGTACTTAGATGCAATGAAAAATCATCTAATTGCATAATTCATGCAGTTATATGAAACATAGAAATACCGAATTCCACGTAACTGAGCACACAGTAGGTATCTGCTTATATTTGTATGATGCTATACAGCTTATAATATTTAATGCCTTTTATTCATGTTAACCACTCAATGCTCAAAGCATTTTTCCTGATACATTAAAGTCTACTCATTATGTTGAAGTTTTTGTTAAATGTACACAGATATGCTTCTCGATGTGATCATTTGAATATCATCTCCATTTTGAGAGAAAGGACCAACTAAAAGCAGAATTCAAAACAGCCATGAAGCCTGTGGGGAAAAAGTCTGCTGATAAAGCAGCCAAATACACACATTTGAGCCAGAGACCTCTGAACCAGCGACTGCACAGCATGGGTTTTAACTGAATCTTTTATGATACAGTTCTGAGCATAAGTATCAGCTTTTCTCTAATAGCTGTAAGCTATGGAGCCATCATGGCTACCCCATTAAAATAAGAAAAACATAAATATTGTCATATAGGTTATTCAAAGTTCAAACAGTTATAACCACAAATATTTGATAAATACATTGCTAAGTATGTAACAATACACAATTTGACTCTTGTGGATTTAGTAAATGTTATTACCAAAGGTTTGCTCTTGCAAAGAAGAAAATCCTAAGTTTAGTAATGATGAAGCTCACACAGACCACCTGCTGTGGGCTCTGTAGGCCTTCAGGGCATCAGGATACCCTGCATCATTCATTTCTGTCTCACCTGCACACACTCCCAGTTTTCCTATGAAAATGTGACTAATTTAAGTATTTTTTTCTTGTTTTAGGTAATTCTAGCCAACCCATAGAAGTGACAGCGCTGTATTCTTTTGAAGGGCAGCAGCCGGGGGATTTGAGATTTCAAGCTGGAGACAGAATCACAGTTACATCAAAAACGGATTCACATTTTGATTGGTGGGAAGGAAGGCTTCGAGGTCAGACTGGCATTTTTCCAGCCAACTATGTTACCATAAACTAAACTTTATATTATCTTCTTTGAGAATTACAAAAAATATTAATTTTACACTGACAGGATTTACCAGCTAAGCGATGTTTAGCATCTGTTTTAAAGTGAGTCAAGAGTAAGAAGGAAAAGCACCCAGATTGGAAGGGTAAACATTTGTCCTTTATGTAAAAGAATTTGTTTTCCCACCTATAAATAAATGATTAACTTACATATCTTTAAATGCTTTGTGCTAATTTTATCACATAGACTATTTAATAGTTAAGATCCTCAATTTATAGGGTCACAGTTCTTTGTGTTTATTTTCTAACATCACTAAACATTTGATTTGGCAACTGTTTTACTTTGAGAATCTTGTGCATAGGGGCATGAATACCACTACATATGTCTTTGCAAAGTGACTAGAAAAAAATAAATCAACTTATATACAATAGCAGTAGTAATACTTAGAGTTGTAGGTATTAACCAGAATATGAATCCTTAAAATTTATCTTTATACCTTTAAAAGTTGTATATAGACATCAATGGTAGAAACATACTATTACAAAGAAATTCAACAACTATGCATTTAAAAAGGCGTTATCTATTAATTTTTCTCTTTAGAAGGTTATGTTTGTTCATATCTAGTGGTAGAATCAACTTATGTTGACATGGTTTAATTGTCCCTAAATAAATGTTTTTTAAATGCTAAGTTAATATCTTGATTTTGTTTTTCTTATTTTCTTTTTATAAAGTAAGTGTCGGTCCTGTGGTTGGTCTGCAGGTAAAACACACCTCCACGCCTGGCCGGTGTGGCTCGGTTGAGTGTCATCAATCTGAATTTCCTGTATGTTTTTATTATATATGTATGTTTTTCTAAGTATGTGCTATTGTATGTTTACAGAATTTAAACTTTTAAACTTATAAAAATGATACAGTGAATTCATTTATTTGCAATAGAATTATCAGAAAAAAAACTTATGTATACATTCAAGGAATTAAAAGGTAAGGTGGAAAATTTCAGCAGAAAGTTGACACGATAGGAGAGAACTAAATGGAAAATTTTGAATAGAAAAATAAACCAAGAAAACAATACGTGGATCTAAGAGTAATTTAAACACAGCAAATGGGAGCCATTGAATTGAAGGTGGGTCAGAAACTTACATCCAGCCTAATGCAAAAGTTGAAAGTATTGGAAACACAGGAAAGACCCGTCTGCTCACTTTCCTGACCACACTGATTGGGTCCCAAGATTCTGTGATGTTATAAATGCCTCTGGACTCGCTATTCTCACTTCTTTCTTTGCAGGTTTCCCTGGCTGCTCTCTTTATCTTTTCATGTGAACTTTAATGTCAATTCGACTATCTCCAGGAAAAAAAAAAGTTTTGTGTGAGATTGCTTTAAATCCATGTATTAACAAAAGGAAAATTTGCATCCTTATGATGTTCAGTTGTCCAAAGCAAAGATAAGGGCTGTTTTCTGCTTGTTCAAGTCTGATTTTGTTTGCGTCTCAGCCTGTGTCCAGCTCTCATCATTTTCAGGCCTAGACTAAAGTTCACTAACCAGGCCAGCGTTTTCTGCCTCCTGCACAAAACCAGCAAAAGTCTGCAAAGACTTTAAAACTTCAACCGTATCTGCTGATGCCTGGAGGTGGCCCTTCCTTCGCCTCAGAAGCTCCGTTCAGGACATCGCCCTCTACCCAGAGCCCAGGGCCAGGAGGCGAAGATCTGCTACTCAGAACTAGTCTCCCTGGGATGTCAGTTCCCTTCAGAAAACATCTGACTTAAGATTTCTAGCTTTGGGGGAAGCAAAGAAAGAGTTATTTTAGATTTTTTTTAACCTTCCAATTTTGCATGGTCTTGGCCCTTCAGTGGCCTATTCAGGTATTTTCCCATAACTAATAATATACCATAAGCCTAAGGAGAAGGTTGATTTACCAAGCCTTAAAATACATTTTTTCTTACTAGTCACAACCTATGTTTAATGGGTAACAGAATAAATAGAAATTAATTCTTCGCTGGGACTCTGGATGCTTTGGCTCCGAGGCAGGAGGGGAACGACAAAGCCAACCTGCTGTAGGGAGACCGGAGTCGGGCTGGACAGGCGCTGCCCCGCCGGCAGGAGCGGAGGCGGCCTCTTGGGCCCTTCCCAGTGGCCTTGCGGCTACGTTGGCAAAAGGAAGGCACCTCTGAGGCGCAGACAGGTACGTGCCCATTCCCACCAGCGGAGCCTGCCACTGCGCCACCCTGCCCATGCCACCCTGCCCATGCCACACGCCCTGACAGACCGCAGCCCGTAGGTGTAGGGGCCTTGTCACCGCCTAACCACTGTTGACCGCAAAGAGCTGAAGGTAGTCCTTCAGCAATAGGGATTTATTTGGGAAAAAAGGATTGCAACCAGGTATGTGCAGTCATGGCGAGCCACGTGCAAAAAGGGTGAAACAAAGAGCAAGCTCTTTGAGGGGCTGTCCAACCACAGAGTTCTGTGATAAACTCAGATTTCTCTAGTAACGGCCGAGTTCCGTGATACCATAGAGTTCCTTGATGCCATAGAGTTCCGTGATACCATAGAGTTCCGTGATACCTGCAGAGTTCCGTGGTACCATAGAGTTCCGTGGTACCTGCAGAGTTCCGTGGTACCATAGAGTTCCTTGATGCCATAGAGTTCCTTGATGCCATAGAGTTCCGTGATACCATAGAGTTCCTTGATGCCATAGAGTTCCTTGATGCCATAGAGTTCCGTGATACCATAGAGTTCCTTGATGCCATAGAGTTCCTTGATGCCATAGAGTTCCGTGATACCATAGAGTTCCTTGATGCCATAGAGTTCCTTGATGCCATAGAGTTCCGTGATACCATAGAGTTCCTTGATGCCATAGAGTTCCTTGATGCCATAGAGTTCCGTGATACCATAGAGTTCCTTGATGCCATAGAGTTCCTTGATGCCATAGAGTTCCGTGATACCATAGAGTTCCTTGATGCCATAGAGTTCCTTGATGCCATAGAGTTCCGTGATACCATAGAGTTCCTTGATGCCATAGAGTTCCTTGATGCCATAGAGTTCCGTGATACCATAGAGTTCCTTGATGCCATAGAGTTCTGTGATACCATAGAGTTCCGTGATACCATAGAGTTCCGTGATACCCTAGAGTTCCGTGATACCATAGAGTTCCTTGATGCCATAGAGTTCTGTGATACCATAGAGTTCCTTGATACCATAGAGTTCTGTGATACCATAGAGTTCCGTGGTACCTGCAGAGTTCCGTGGTACCTGCAGAGTTCCGTGATACCATAGAGTTCCGTGATACCATAGAGTTCCGTGATACCCTAGAGTTCCGTGATACCCTAGAGTTCCGTGATACCCTAGAGCTCCTTCTGTAGGGCTTTTGTGACTGATACTATGTGTGAGAGCTCGTCCCACAGGTTCTCCAGAGTTTTGTCTTGGTTTGAAGACCACCAAGGATTGACATTCTCCTTCAGCGAGTCAAGACGTGCCTGTTCTTGCAGATTAGACGGCCAAGGCTCAACCATAAATTTTTAAATGCTTTGTTTTCATTTTCCTGGCTGCTTTATGTATCCTGCAGGAGGGTTCCCCAATCCTCCGGTTGGCATATTACAGAGGGAGCCTTCTCTGTGCTTGTTGTTTATTGTATTTAAGGATTTTGTGTAACTCTCAACCAGCGTGGTGTCAAATAAAGCACGAGTGCTGACTCTGAGAAGATCTCAAGAAGAGGAGGGGACTTTGTGGCAATAGGGGGGGCTTCTCTGACCCCGGACCCTTCGAGTGTTTCCAGCTGGGGCCGAAGCCTGGTCTCCTCTCTGAGGAGTCAACAGCGCTGGAAAGCCAGTGGTCAGTGGGGGAGCCTGAGGCCGGGGTCAGACAGTGTGTGACCGTCGCTGGGAGCAGTTGGAGGGTTTGCTTCTCATTCCAGTGCTTCATTAAGGGAGGGCCAAAGTTCAGGGGTCTGGGGAGAAGAGAGTCTTAACCAGACTTTGGCTAACGAGCGTTTTGTTCCATAGGTCAGTAGAAACAAAGTGGTTCAGCTAATCCTTTAGGGGACAGAGACTGGGAATGTGGAGGGTCTGCACCTGGCCTGGAAGCTGGTGAACGGGTGTCCACTCGTCTTTCCACCTAAGTGTGTGGGAAAGGTGTTCTCTGCAGTCAGCTCTTTCTTGAAACACTGAAGGAAAATGCCCAACCTTTGTTGTCCCCCAGGACCCTGGGACAGGGGCCAAGTTCAGCAGTAGTTGAAGAAATAATTTTTGTCTAGGATGAATTTCCTTCTGTGTCCAGAGTTTAATTTTTCATGGAGTTCTCTAGGCTATAATTTTGTTGAATTCTTGTTTCAGATCCTTATCAACCACAGCCAGATTTAGCTCATACTAGTCTAACCGGCTGGTGGGTGTTTGGTCTCCGAAGGGTCAGGCATTGCTCACTGCAGAGGGAAAGGGCCTCTGTCTTTGTGGGGAAGACACACTTTTTTCGGGTCTAACCTGAAAACAGCACCTCTGTTCTGTAGAACATGGGATCCTTAGTGAATCCACTGCAATCTCCTGGGAGACAGAAGCTTAAGGATTTTCATTGCTTTGTTTCTAGAATTATGTGGTTGTGCTTGTATATTGAATTCAGTATTTTTTAACTAAATATTTTACAGCATTTAAAAAGTCTTATAGTTAATAAACCCTTCACATGTTGTTGGAAATTAAAAACCTGGATCAAGTGGACCTCGCCTAACTCCTGCAGCGCCTGGGAGCAGCCCTGGACAGTGGGCTGGGCAGGACTCAGGAGGGGTGCAGAACACACAACTCCTCCAGTCATCACACAACCTGAGGAACATTGTTATGTCTACTGAGTAAAAGTTTGCTCTAATAATTTAACACAGAACTGTCTGTTGCCATGAGCTTCAGCAATGTTATTCTCTAGGTGTGCACTGATGTGGACTGTTTCCCAGGTAACTATTTTAGTACGTAAGTGATATATTAACCCATCCACAATGTGATACCCTGACCTGGCGTCTAAGGGTCCCCATTGTTACCTGGTGGAAAGGGCTCTTGTTCAGG